ATCGTCTGAAGAAAGACGATTACGAAGGTTCAAAGAAGGCCTTAAAAAGCTTGATCGGCCTTATTCAGAATAGGCAAAAATTGATCAAGTTAGCAGACAAGAGCGAGGGAGGTTGGCTAGTAGTAGAAGAGTATGAACAAGAGGAATTAGCGGACGACTCAGATGATGAGAAAAGGATACGCAAGTCTCAAGCACAAGCCATAAAGAGGAAAAAGAAGCTGAACACAAATTATAGCCAGTCTGGAAAACGCCCTAAGGTCGAGCGAAGCCAAGAACATAACCAAGACAGGCAGCTTTTTCGAGGTAAACTGTTTCTCGGCTTTCTTTGTTTATTCCAGAGCTTGTTTAGCAATTAACAAGCTACCCAAGTTATAACTTGTGTTTCAGTGTCGTATTTTATACCTGCTCAAGGGTATTTTACGGCCTGGGTCAGGATATGCAAATGAGCAAAAGTAGACWTTTTTTAATATTTCGGCCATTTGTTAATCAATTTCACTGAAACTTTGCCAATGTAAAGAAATTAATGTCCTTAATGKTTTGACGTTATCAGTTTGGGTGCACATGCATCACGTGACAAATCACGTGRCGTTTAGACCTCTTGTCGAAACTATGAAAATGGGGTAAATAAAACAAACACAATACCAGCTTTTTATATCATAAATGTATTCTTCAGTAAATTTCCTAGAACTCTGGGCTTAGAATGGCTGTCTATTTGTTAGAAAAATATGCCATAATGAGCTGTTCGTGAGCACATATCAAGTCACCTTTTATTGAAAATCAAACATTCTAAGCCCAGGATAATTCTTTTGTTATCACTCTRTTGAAATATAGTATAATATCGCTCTAAAGATAATGCTTTAGTTGCCCCATTCACCAACGAAAATCACCCCTTCAAAAATGCTTAAAATCCGCCATTGAGATAAACATCCGAGTAACCYTTGGGGACTGGATACTAGTGAAGCAAACATGAATATTATTTTAAAAACACCACCGCTTTCCATCTTAAACACGGGCTCTACAATATACTATTTTAAACCAATCAAAAGAAAGGATTTTGAACAAGAAACAAAGATGGCGGACGAGAAGGCACGAAATACAGTCATCTTCAGTCGAGAGTTTATGCAGTTTTCTGAGGCAACGAGAAGTCAATTTTTAAGCAGATGAGTAGCAAATATGGTTTCTTTGCATACATATTCAACAGAAATAATATTTAACGCGGCATTACTCAGTTTTAGGCTATAAACAGTAAGGTGTAATGTTATTCTGTAAATGAGAAATAAAACTAATAAAGCTTCCTCTCTCAGTGTATTTTCGTTATGTACTTCATTCTAGCACGCGCCAATCTTCAGCAGTTTCACCAAAAGAGGGCATGCGTGTCAAATTAGTTSGATTTAGGCGCCAAAATCCAAAAAACTTTACCGAGTTTGTCGAAGTGGACTTAATCATGACTGAAATAATTTCGTGTGGGTTTTCAAGGGTTTACCTTTGGAGAACTAAACAATTAGCTTTACAAAGTCTAAAACAAGAAGAAAATGAAAGCAAAACAAAATTCAACATCAGGATTTTGGATAAGAGATATATTTTGTTCAAAGASAAATTTCACAAGTTTGATAGGATGCATCTTGATAAAGGTAAGTTTAAGCTTATAAAGTCTAATGACTAAACTCTGGACTATKATGTATTGTATGAAAGCTTAAGGCTTTGATATAATTGACATACTATACAAAGAACATGAATATATATTATTAGATTTTTTTTTTTCTTTGCTTGCAATTCCAAGACCAGACAAAATAATAAACTGTTCTTACAAAGGTATACCAGTTATGATTCTGAACTTGGATTACTATATGATTAACATCTGTGTATACACCAAAACACAAAAATTCTGCTCCCTAATATATATGTTGGACATATCATATCATTTATCCTTTGCTATGTATGAATATCATTAGGGAGCAGATTTTTATGTTGTATTTTTATATTGTATTGACAAACTGTAAAATATTTTTTTATTTGCATTTTATTACATTCACTTTTGAATACAATTCTATTTAGCCGAATAGGTTCAGGCAAAGCTATCTTTCTAGAGATTTGTTTTGGATCATATTTACTGTAGACTGAAATGTTAAATTAATTGGGAATTTGAATCTAATAGCAAATTGAGAATGTGAGAATATTGAAGTAATTCAAACAATAAAAGTGTGCAGCATTTCATGCAAAAAGTGGTACAGACAATAGAATTAGCATATAAGTCATGTAATTTAATGAGATTTATACTGCACACTTTTAATAGTTGTACTCTTGGTATCGATGAAACAATAGAGATCAGTAAAACTAGGCATAAATTAGTACTCTATCAAATTGGGAATCTGACAAGTAATCTGCAATGTATATATTACTTGTCAGAAAAACACTGCCAAAAATGGTTAACACAACTTAAAGGGACTTGCTAATATTAATGATTGATGCTTATACAATTTGCATTTTTATTAGATTTTGAATTAGTCAAAAATAATTAAAGTAGAGAATACCACAATCAATAGACAAAATCACAAGATGTATGATTAGAGTGGTTTTCATTTTACCTATGAAACAAAGTGTATGGTCTGAAGTTTCAATATGCTAGGTGTATTTCACAGGTTAAAGTGCACATCACCCCAAAATTTGGACCATTTTGAGCAAATTCTATAGAGCTAGAGCTTTAAAATGATGTATTCATGAGCTTGATTGGATGAATTTTGAGCGAGATATTAGAGTTTGAAATGCGCTCTGGGAGCCCTGTGTTACATAGGAAGAGAGAAGAAAGGCTTGGGTCGAGGGTTAGTTATGACGTCAACCTAGGTCCACGAGCATGCGTAGTCGGCTCAAAATAACTATCACCTTCGCGAGAGAATCTTGAATTAATCTACTGTGTATATTGAAAACTTTTACTGTTATATACGATGGTTTTTCGATGTTGTGTCGGAAACTGCGCAAACAAAGCCTCGAAAGGTTCAAGAATAACGCTGTTTCAAATCCCTTATGAGAATGACGAGAGAACCACGGCAAAACAACGAAGACAGGCCTGGGTTGATTTTGTGGCTGCTTCGAAAGGAATGTCTGTTTGGGTACCTACAAAGTCGAGTAGAATATGCTGCCAACACTTTCAAATCTCGGACTTTGTGCGTCGTTATGAAGTGCTTGGGACGGGTACATTCATAAAGAAATTAAAGGTAGACGAATTAGGAATTTTGGCGATCCCAACGATCTTTGCAGATCCGTCTTCATTCAAAACGACTTCTTCGATGTCACCTCAAAGCCGAAGGAAGGTGAGGTTGCTCAAAAGAGCATACTTTTGTGAGTTACGANGGTTCGTCATAGCCCACAAATTTCTCTTCTTCGGTTCTGAATGCACCTCTTATTTTGTGATATGTACAGGCTGGCAATGGAATTCGTTCGGAGCCAAGAAATCCATAAACAAGTTGTGAAAACTCTCTATACGCAACGGCTCGAAGAAAGCTGCAAGACAAAACGTCATTAGTGCCCTATCTGACTTGATTGAAAGTTCAATATCTTGAACTCACGTTGATTCCTTTCCAATTTGCGTATATCGACGCTGATCGCGTGTTTTGTACTTTGAGGCGGACTGTTTCAATGACCATTTCTCCAGGCACACAGGACGAAATCCAGGGTGAAGAGTAATACATCTCGGTGCGGTCTTCGTTTCGACTAGGACGTCATCCCTGTTGCATGCCTTAACGCATCGTTCTATCTCTTGACAACATCTAGCTTCGAAAATATTTTCCAGCAAATCTGTACTGCAGTGTCCACATAAGCACCTAGTTTTTACAAAATATAATAAAGTGGTTTTATAAACTATATAGCGAAATGAAACTTTGCATTCCTGGACAAAACTAACCAGTTTCTGTTTTTCTTATCATCTAGTCTTTCTTGAAGTTTGTTCCTAAGATTTTCTTCGATCTCCTTCTTTTTCTTGTAGTCTTGAAGCCATGCTTCGTCGGCTAGCGGTTCTCCTTCGTATGGACCGCTTGGAATAAAATCATCGTCGTCTGCTTCTTCGAAGTTATCGTTTTCGTATTCAATATCGTAGTTTAGCGGCAATGTTATTGTGCCAGGAATATAGTTATACTCCGAGTCGTCGGAATCAACGCTCATCTCCGAATCGGAACTTGAATTATTTGTCATTTTGTAKAATTTTTAAACTTGATTTCTGGATCGATCTTYTGWAGTTCACATGTGAATTTGCGAAGTGTGAAAATAAACTCACATTTGACAGTTCGATGGTACCTAAGTTGACGTCATATCCGGCGACTCGCACCAGCTCCCGTATTCCCGGCCAGGGAGCGGTCGTAGTAATTTTTAAAAATCTGTAAAAAATTCCCGATTGCTCAAAATTTGATTCTGACAACGGGAAATGTTTATTGGGATACTGGAAATTACTCCAATTTTTGCATTTTTTTGGGGTGATGTGCACTTTAATGAAAACCCTTCTACTTAGTATAATATTGTAGAAAAACTGTTAAGTTAATCTGTGAAACAAAAATTACTACTCTGTCATAAAGAGTACAAATTAAAAAACASAAAACAAAGGATGTGAACACACATGATAATTAATGAATTGACATTTCTTTCTCTCAAAGACATCACAAATGATTTAAAACTTTTATTCAAGAAAATAATATATTTAAATGTACATGCTGTATTATTCTATATCCTACCCAACAAGTCACCTTCCCCCTGTCTCACTAGGTCAAAAAAAATATTTTTTAGGCTAACCATGTAACCCTTTTTAATTATCAGATAAATTCCTGAAAGCATATAAGATCATTGATGAAAGACTCACTAACTGGAGAAACAAAAATGAGAAGCAGCAATATCTTGACAACTTTTCTGAGATATCCTGTGCCGAGGGACGCAGAAAGATGCATTGTATTTCTAAATGTGATTGTTGCACGACAACAACAACAGTTCACTTCCCTGTACGACAAGGACATGCTTTCAAAAAACGTGAGCCATTCACTCAATTAAATGTCACAGCAAATAAATCTATCTGCAAACCTAATAGCACATCATACAAGCCACTAGCAAAGGAAATTTAAAAAATTGGCCAAGAAATTTATAAAAACTTCAACGASGTCTGTCAGCAGAATCTTGGTCAGTCACTTTCAGATGTCCTATGTCAAGTACCAGAAGCCCAACTCCAAAAGAAGATTTCTCCAGCTGAAAGAAAGAAAAAAAAAACAGAGAGATTAAACGCAAATTCAAAAGAAACATGAAAGAAACATGGCAAAAAATGATGTTGATTCACATTTGGCACAAAGAACATCATACAGAGCAAGAAACATGCAGAGATTCAATCAGTCATTTGAAACACCAGCTGATGCAAAGAAAAGAATTGAAGAGAGAAAAGAAAACAAGGTAAAAAGTCCAAAACACATAGACAGAGACCTGGACAAAGTACTCGATGACTTTCAAACATGGACCCCAGGGAAACCAGTTAGTTGAACTGCAAAAGCAAAGCAATTCAACATCAAGAAAAGAGGAGGGCAAGAAACACCCCAAAACGGTGGGCAGCTATTGAAGTCATACTTGTGCAATCAAGGGATAGATATAACTCCATTTGAAAGGAAGGGAGCAGGTATGTACATAGCATCATACAATATATAAACATCCTATAATTACAAAACTACTTCCCTGAAGGGTGGGTGAGTGTGAAAATTTTAATTGGCCTTGCATATTTTTTGGACTGCCTATTATAACAGCGTAATTGATATATATTATATAGGCAGGATGGGGGTGAGGACAGGGAYGCTCGTTGTGTCTTTTAGGCATCAAATTAAAGGATCTGTTCCTTTTTGGGGTGTGAATGCACATTTTTGCAAATCATGGCGACCGAAATCTGCTATTTATAGCCTAATTACATAATATATRSAATATATAWAATTAATTTCCATGAGTATAGTGTGTACACTAAATCAATTCAAAAATATAAAATTATTCTCTAATAGCCTATTTTCTTCATAAATTATCTAGATCAAGTTCGTTTACGACGAAGTCTACTTAAGCAGCCTGGAGGAGAAATCTCAGTTCCTGTCCCAAGAAATAACAACAAAATAAAAAAAGAAATTCAAGAAAGGGTCCAAAATGCCAGAAAACAACATGCCAGAAAGCTGTCGTAACAAATGATGGGAAATTTATGCTTAAACCATTTAAGGTGGCCGAAAGAAAGATCCCACTGTCAGATATCAGAAAGTCAACTCTCAAAAGTGATGAGCAATACCTACGACTACACACAGACGAATACTACGAAAGCCTCACAGAAGATACTATTGATGCTAGGCTGAAATCTCTGGGGGAATCAAGAGAAGAAGAGAAGAAAAGCTACCTCAAGCATATTGAAAGCCAACGCCACTGGATGATATGACATGACCATTCCTCCATGGCAAATAGCGGTTTCATGCTGTTTTTGATGAGTCAGCTGTATGATCCAGCAGTTCATCTGACAAAGTCAGAATACCAGCAAAAGACAGGCAGAAGCATTGACATATAAGTCGTTAGAGAACTGAAGGCAAGAAGAAAGAGTGTGCAAGGAGACAAGAAAACGCTGGACAATAGACTTACAGACATTCTTTGTGGAGTCACAAACATCCCGCCACTACTAAGTGATACTAATCTTTCACTCAAAGAATTAAACCTTCAAGATTATGAAGTATTGGCATTTGAGCCTTTACATGACACTATGAACCATATATCTAATATAATTAAAGAAATACCACACCATATTACTGATGCCAAAGTGCTCATAACTATAAAGGAAGTGATTACAGTGCTGTTCGACAAAGAAAAAGTAAGGGGTACAGACTATCGCCTTGCCCTATTAACACTTACTGCTGCAATACTTGCAGATGTTTCAGGATTTTATTGATCTCTTTTTATCCTTCATCGAAATGACACACATATTTTATTGCCATGAAGAAGAACGTTGCCCTAGGCAAATTCTTCGCTTGTACAACATTTCATGGTTGCCCAGCAAAGCAGTCATGAAAACACTATGCCCTCCAAAGGCTCTCACTTACAGGAAGCTATTTGGTATCTATTTTCATGCCATTATTGATCATGCCCCGCTTATACACCGCATTATATGCTTACGTTCCATCAATGCTGAGCAAACGGAACGGTGCTTTGACAAGATTTCAGACATTACAAAGAAGACCTGGAACAAGCAAATTGAGGACCTAGCGTCAAATGCCTTTCTGCATGTCCAAGCCGAAGAGCTCACCAGAGGGGATAAAGACGAAGTGCAGATACAAGAGAAGGAAATAAAGAAGATTGCATGCCACTTGCCGAAGCTAAGCAACATTGTTGTAGAAAAAGAAGTGATGGTGAAGAGAGCTAAAGAATGGCAAGCCCATTTGATGCAAATAGCTGATTTTCTTGTACCGGGTCCTGGCGTATGGTGGAAATGGGAGGCTAATGGGAGTGTGGAATTCTTTGATTCCTCAAAAGAGCCTGACAGCAAAGCTAAGGGTCCCACATTACACCACTTCAGATCCAGCTCCATCAAGAATGAATTGTCCTTTCTGAAGAAGAGTTGGGAGAAATGCTGTCATGAAAACATAGAGCTCCCCTTATATAGGCGGTATGACACTAATGGAAAGCTTGTTTTTCAGAAGATGGCTGGTGATATAGAAGAAAACACAGGAGATGTCAACATGAATGAAGAAAGACCACCATTGCACATGAATGATGAAGAAGATGCAATGTCTGATGATGAACGATCACTGCCCGACATGTCTGACGAAGAAAGCTTACTACCTGGCTTGCCTAATGCAGAAAGATCACTACTTGGCATGCCTAACGAAGAAAGTTCACTACCTGGCTTGCCTAGCGCAGAAAGTTCACTATCTGACATGTCTAACGTAGAAAGTTCACTACCTGGCTTGCCTAACGCAGAACGTTCACTATCTGGCATGCCTAACGAAGAAAGTTCACTACCTGGCTTGCCTAACGCAGAAAGTTCACTATCTGACATGTCTAACGTAGAAAGTTCACTACCTGGCTTGCCTAACGCAGAA